GATACCTTAGTGGGCAAAGAATCTGACCCAAAGTTCTTGGGAATATTTGGATCACTGAGGCCCAGTCCTTTCCTTGGCTCTTTGAGTCTCGATAACAGAGCCACCTTGAACCAATCATCGTGATCAAAGCCCAGGAGAATTGAGTAGTTGGTGCCAGAAAACTTTTTGAGCTGAGGTTTCCTTCTAGTGAGAGAGGAGCTTTGGGTAGATTGCCACCACGTTGCCTAATTAAATCTATAGGGTAGTCTAAGCTCGGGTTCTCTCACAAAACTTTAAATTGCTTTTGGGACAGGACCTGGCCCCAATGCAACCCGGCTCTAAATTCCTGAGAGAGCCTTTATGGTTCCCTCTGGAGAGCAGTGTGGAGCGCAGAGAAGAGAGGTGCTGGGCCCAGAGGCTGGGCATGGCTTCCTTGCCTGCCAGGGGTGCAGCCTCCTCCAGGCCGGGGATGCTTGAGACCCAGCCTTGGTCTCCTTGTCTCACTGGGCCCCATTGTCAGGCAAGAGCTTCTTTGACTCCTCTATAGACAAGGTCCTTTTGAGACAAGAGGTATTGAGACAATAGAGTGTGTGCCCATGTCAAGGCTGTGCCTCCAGGTGTTGCTGGGAAACTGAGCAAGATAGCCTCTGTGGCCCACTTGGCTATGGCTGGGTAGTACTGAGAAGGGCAGGTGACACAAGCTAATTAGTTCTCCCGACTGCAGTAAACAGCCAGCATCCCCATTCCACTGGCCTGCCTTCCTGTGAGCAAAAGATCCACGCTACATTGAACCCAAGCCAGGTAAGTTTTGGGTGACCTTCGTGTCTAGCTCTTCACCAGAATGAAGGAAAGAGAAGGTTGTGCCCATAGAGGCAGATAGGGAACTGGGGTCAGAATTGGGTTGTGGAGGAAACCAGCACTTAGCGTAATGGCTATGTTGCTGAACTCCCACATAGTCGACTGCGGTTCATGTCCCGGACCCGGTGGCTTAAAACTCACGCCGGGCATGTGTGTGTGCGTGCCCAAGATCCCGAGAGGAGAATGGAGGAGAAGGGATTGCAGCGTGACCATCCCCTCTGGGGGTGATTTCTCGCTTTCTGTCTCTATGTCTCTCTCTGTCTGTCTGGCGAGCGCACTCGCCCTATAGCGAAAATCTCTCCAAAAAAAAAAAAAAAGAATTGGGTTGTGGAATAAGGCAACTATTTTCAAAGTTTAGAAGGCTGCTATTGTGGTGCGGGAGCAAGCCTGTTTTGCATAAACCCAGAAGGCAGATTTAGAACCAGTGGAAGAAGGGAAACTTAGAAATTTTGAAATTTTGGGGCCAGCAGGTTGTGTGGTGGTTAAGGTACTGGATTTGCACATGACTGACTACAGTTCAAGTCCTGGACTTGGTGACTTGCTTTCTCTCTCTCTCTCTCTTTCTCTCTCTCTCTCTCTTTCTCTCTCCCTCCCTCCCTCTCTGTCTCTCTGGTCAAACTGAAAAAGAGTAATACTAAGCAAAATTAAATGAATAATTCCTTAAAAAAATTTTTTTTTAAAACGGCAAATTTCAGGCGTCAGAAGAACTCTTACAACCCAGGCTTCCTGATAATGATATTGCATGAGACCCCTGTGGTTCATAAGTTTAAGTAGAAGCTGAGAAATCACTTACTGAAGAAAGGATCCTTGTGCTCGCCCACAAGGACTAGACTGAATTGGTCTAATAGCTGCGTATTTTGCCAACCTTCAGGTTCTGTACTCCTTGATACCGAAAAAAGCTTTTCTCTAAGAATAGTTCCCTGTTCCTTAGTTTCTGATGTATGTATATATAGTGAGGAGCCCTTTAATACTCTAATATATATAATATATATAATAGACCACAGATTAGTTTATTTTTAACACCCATAATGCCATGAATTCATAGGGAATAGGTTCCAGTAGCTCAGGCTCCTTCCCATTGGCTCTCACAAAGTGTGCTTCTCTGGGTGGAGCAGGCTGGTGCTTCAGTGAAACCCAGGTACTTTTCTCTTTGACTTCCTTCTTTTTTTGGTCATTTTCCTTTGCACGTTTTAGGAAGCTATCTCTGCTCTTAGAATGCTTAATATGCTCAATACGCACATTGATTCTCTTGGCAAGAATCTCGCCTTTAATTTGTTTGTTTACAACAATGCCAACAGCATGCTGGGTGACATTGTAGACTCTTCCAGTTTGCCATGGTAACATTTGTGGGGCATTCCTTTTTGAACAGCAGTACCCATTCCTTTAATGTCTACAATATCACCTTTCTTGTCGATTCGCATATATGTCACCAAAGGAACAACTCCATGTTTTCTTAAAGGCCTAGAGAACATATATCGGGTGCCTCTCCTCTTTTCCTTTGTGTTCGTCATTTTGGTTAATTACTAGAAGATGGCGGTTCCAGCCAAAAGCAAATTCTGATATTTTGAGATGACCTCTTTAGGACATTCTCCATTAACAGTAAGTAAAACTCACCTCTTTTTCAGGGCCATGTGCAATGCACCAACCTCTCTCCTGACCTCTTTAAATGAGTGATTGAATGGATCAGTGATTTCCAAAAGTCGTGTACATCAAAAGCACACTGAGGCAGGGGTCAAGGGGCAGGGGAGTGGAATAGTGGTTAAGGTGGCTTGATCTCACATGGCCAATGTACTATTTGAGACTCATAACTGGCATACTGAAAAACACACGAGGCAGGTGTGCATGTGTGCCCAAAATTCTGAAAAGAAGAGAAGGAGGGGAAGGGATTGAGGTGTAACCATCCCCCATGGTAAAGTGCTTTCACACTTTTTCTCTCCTCTTCTCCAGAGAGTGTACACACCCTCTAACATAAAAAAAAAAAAAAAGTACATGGAGAGTTTTTGTTTTTTGTTTTTTGTTTTTTAAAAAGCAAATAAAATAAAAATATATCACCAAGTCAAGACAATCTGCAAAGTTAGGCATCAGAAATCAGTATTTTTAACCAGTACTTGGGTAGCTATTAGGTAAATAGTTCCATGCTACTTTGAGTACTCTGCAGCAAGGCCTAATGACACTTGGCATTCCAAATTGCTTTAGTAGTAACATTGTGATGATCTATGGTGGAGATTTTGGTATTTGGGAAGATGAGTAAATTTGCATGCAGCATGTCTGAAAACTCTCCAAACTGCATTGGATGGTGTCTTTCATCAAATTTGATGTAGACGTGACTCCAGGTCATACCCAACTCACGCTGGATATGTGACTTGTAAGTGGGCTCCAACAATCAGGTAAGATTCTATTTCCTTGGCCAAGTCCCAGCACAGCAAATGTGCAGGGAAACCAGGTGTAGTTACAGTAGGAAACACGTGAGTCCTTTCTCCAGATCAGATTTCTGCAGTGGTGGGCACAACATGTTATAGGCTGCAGAAGTTCAGTTTGGTCAGATTATCCAGACCAGATGACCTGACTTACACTAACTAAAATCACAACAGACTGAAATGTAAACTAGACACAGAATAAGGAATAAAACTGTTAAGGAGACAGGAAACATTTTCCAGCCAGTATATCCTCTCCCTACAAGACTGTACATGGGGGAGTTAAACAACAGCACAAACTTGTTGGGTGAAGAGAAATCAGAACGAGAGGAATGGGCCACACGACCTTGATGACCAGGGTCACTGAGCTGTGATAGTTTGAGAGCTGCAATTACATGGCAGAGACAGAGTTACTCAGACCTCTGCTTTTCTAGAAAGTGCAAGGGGAGGGGCAGCATGTGGTGTGGAGGTTAAAGTGGCTGGATCCCGCATGGCCAATTGTGTACATTGAGTCCTGCACCTGGTGGCTTGAAAATTATGCTGTGGATTTCCTGTTTCCTGTGATACTTTGGTTTGGGATCTGTAACCTTGAAGATATCTGGAGTATTAAGAGGGCTTCTCACTATTTTTGTCTTGATCCATGGTCAAGAGGATTTTCGTATATCCTGGACCGAATTCTGGCTCCGGGTTCAACTGAGATGAACACCTATAGTGCCTAACGTACAATCTCAGTCAAATGAACTCTATTTAGGAAGTGGCTGTCCTGTAAACCTAACTGACCCCAATTTCTTCAAGTTCCTTTATTTTGTAATTTATTGTGGCATCAGGATTAATGAACAACCATAGGTATTGTCATTGAAAGTTTCATCACATGTGAACTGGCAGCATTAGGTCTTACTACATCCTGGTGTCAGGCGATGTTCAAAGAAATTTTCCAATAATTTGGGTGACAAAAATGAGAGAGAATAACCATGCAACCAAAAGGCTATTGGGGCAGAAATGCTGACTGTCATGTCAAATTGAAAACTTGGGAATCCATCAGGATCTGATTTTCTGGATCACACAAATTTGATCCCTTCCTGTTGAGGTAATTAAGCCACAGATCATGGTACTCTGGCTTCTTGAGGATTTCCCTGCATTTAGACATTGGACTGAAGCCTATGGATATCATCTTTTACCATTTCAACATGATCTTTTTAAATGAAAAACTTGCTCCTCCACCTACATCTATGAACTCTTTGGGTGGGAAAAAGGAGCTTTTTCAGATTTTAAATGTAAAATAAAGGTACTTTAAAAAAAGAAAAAAGAAAATCATGCTTTGTGTGTGCATGCCTGAAATTCTGAGAGGAGAATGGAGAAGGGATTAGGGTGTGGCCCACTCCCCTAAGAGGTGATTTTTCACTTTCGCCCTCTCTCTGTCTCTCTCTGGTGAGCGAATAGATAGTGTGTGTAGACATATGACACCACTGTAACTGTATTAATATCAGTAATTAACCAGAAATGTCCTCCATTTTATTAAATTTCATTAGACTTCCAAGGTCTTCTCTTCTAAGCTTTGCCACATTGCCTGGCTTTTAGATAACTTGGTTTTGTAGTTGAATCCCAAATGTAAATATAAATAAATGTAAATTTATTTTATTTTTATGGACATTATGCTGTAATCCCCAGGTTTGACTCAAACAAGCCATCAAACCACAAACATGTATTTTCTGCTTTCAGTATTTCTCAGGATGAAAGAGAGAGTTTGAAATGGAAGCATCCAACCAGTCTACTGTCACAGAATTTGTCTTGCTGGGCCTCTCTGCCCACCCAAAACTAGAGAAAACATTCTTTGTACTCATCCTATCAATGTACCTGGTGATCTTGATTGGCAATGGAGTCCTCATCCTGGTGACCATCCTTGACTCCCACCTGCACACACCCATGTACTTCTTCCTGGGGAACCTGTCATTTCTGGACATCTGCTATACAACTTCCTCAGTCCCACTGGTCCTTGATGGTTTTCTCACCCCCAGGAAAACCATCTCTTTCTCAGCCTGTGCAGTACAGATGTTTCTTTCCTTTGCCATGGGAGCCACAGAGTGTGTGCTCCTGGGCATGATGGCGTTTGATCGCTACGTGGCCATCTGCAACCCCCTTAGGTACCCTGTGGTCATGAGTAAGATTGCCTATGTGCCCATGGCCATCAGCTCCTGGGTGGCTGGTGGAGCCAACTCCTTGGTGCAGATCTCTCTTGCAGTACAACTGCCCTTCTGTGGGGACAACGTCATCAACCACTTCACTTGTGAGATCCTGGCAGTTCTGAAGTTGGCCTGTGCTGACATCTCCATCAATGTGATCAGCATGGGGGTGGCCAATGTGATCTTCCTGGGGGTTCCAGTTCTGTTCATCTTTATCTCTTACATCTTCATTCTTACCACCATTTTGAGGATCCCCTCAGCTGAAGGGAGAAAAAAGGCCTTTTCCACCTGCTCTGCACACCTCACTGTGGTGATCATCTTCTATGGGACCATCCTCTTCATGTATGGGAAGCCCAAGTCTAAGGATCCACAGGGGGCAGACAAACAGGATCTTTCAGACAAGCTCATCTCCCTCTTTTATGGACTTCTGACCCCCATGCTGAACCCTATCATCTACAGCCTGAGGAACAAGGATGTGAAGGCTGCTGTCAGGAACCTAGTGGCTCAGAAATGTTTCACAAAGTGATGGTGAGATACACCCCACAAGTCCTGATGCATCAGCTCTCAATTGAGAATTGCGGTGCAAAGAATGCTAAGTGAGGGGCAGGCTGAGTGTAGAGTCAGTCTACTTACAGTGTGGTCCTTGGACCAGTAATATCAGCATCAGCTAGGAGCTTATTAGGGATGCAGTATCTTAGGGTCCATTGCAGACCTCTTGAATCTGCATTTTAATAAGATCCCAAGATGATTCATAGGCACATTAAACTTTGAGAAGCATTTGTTAAGAGAGTGTAAGAGAGTGTAGTGGATGCAATGGGGTGCTGGCCAAATCCTCACCACCGCTTCATGTAGGGCTCATTATTCCAGTTGCTTGGAGTGCTGGTGGCTGACAGCACGCAGCTGAGTCTCTCTGCAAGACTACCTTGGCTAAGAGAACTACCTCACCCAAAGTCACATTTCCTTCTCAGGAGCAATCCCCAGCCAAGATTAGTAAATGCCCAAGTCAAGACCCAGTTCTCCTTTCCTCAAATGTGGCATATCTCTAAAGGGCCATCCCAGTTAGGGAGCTTCCTCCTGGCATTCAAGATTCCCCTCCTCTCCAGCCATGATTCCTTTATCCCCCGAAGCCCTAAATGGTGACTTACAGAGCATTTCCTAGGAAGTGCTCTGCATGAAAATTTCCCCATCAAAGTCAGCTTCTGGAGAACCCCACCTGTGACAGAACGGTGGTCCATCCCAGCATGGATATGTGAAGTGTGTTTCATGAGTCTGTGTCCTTCTCAGGTGTTTCCTGCTCCCTGGCTCCCAAGGAAAGGAATTCATTGAATTCCTTTTGTTCAAAGGGAAAAAAAAAATCATTGCCTAGAAAGTATTTGCTAAATTAAATGACTTTAATTTTCACTTCTATAAGTGGATCTCAGTTTATATTTACTATACAAGTGTTTTTACTCTGAAACAGAATAAGCAGAGCTATTTCTCCCTGTGGGCATGAGGAAGGGCTCAGTAGTTGGGTCTACGGCATTTTCTTCAAGGATAAAGGTGTTGAAAATCTGGAAAACACGTTGGCTCTTTACTACAGCAAAACAAAACAGACCCCTAAAATATCTTCATTATTTATTTACATGCCTACAAAAAGAAATATTATGACAGCCTCAATATGGATAATTTTTTGTATTTTTATCTGTAGATCAGGTACTTTCACATTACCAGAATTCCTGCATTTTCCTAATTATTGTTAAGAAATCATTGAATTACAAATTAAGCGAGTTACTTGTAAGCCAAATAATTTTAATAATATCAGTAGGAAAATCATTTCAAATTTGCCAAAAAAAATTATACTAAAGGTGAGATATAGGTTTATTTTGATATAATGTGTGCCAGGACTTCTAAAAGTAAGAGTGTCCACGTCCAGGACAGTCTTGAGAGGGACCCAATAGTTCCAGATATTTGTCTGCAATGCCTAGAACACTAATTAGCAATCAGATGTTCGGTAAGACACATAGGAGTCTTTCCCCAGGTACTTTTTAATTTTCACTTGTCCCACAATGTGACATGTGTGGCTGATAGACTTCTACAGATGGTTTGAATGGGCACTCAGATGTGTGAAACTTATCTTAAGAGAAAACCCAAAACACGCCAGTCTCTAGCTTGAGGTCTGATTTATCTGTGGGCTATCGAGGTTCCCCACCAGGGGACTCCAGGACCTCTTTTCCCATCTTTATGGAAATGATGCAAGTCTTGCTGGAGATGGCTACATCGACAAGCTGTGATGAGAACTTTGTGGATTTCCCCTGTAGCAAGGAGGGCAATGATGTCTATAAGGATGATAAAGATGTAAAAATCACTCTGATACCAACTTTCACCAAGGCATAATTAATGCCTTAATTATTAGATGGATAGAGATTATGCTTTGATCTAAGGTTCATCATCTACACTCTGCCCTCCCCCTCATTCACTTAAGAGTAACTTCCCAGGGACCAGCAGTTAGCATAATGGCTATGTCACTGGACTCCCACATAGTCGACCGCGGTTCGAGTCCCAGACTCGATGGCTTAAATTCACGCTGGGCGCGCGTGCATGCCCAAGATCCCGAGAGGAGAATGGAGGAGAAAGGATTGTGGCATGGCCATCCCCCCTGGGGGGTGATTTCTCGCTTTCTGTCTCTCTGTCTCTCTCTGTCTGTCTGGTGAGTGCACATGCGCCCTATAGCAAAAACCTCTCCCAGAAAAATAAAATTAAAAAAAAAAAAAAAAAGAGTAACTTCCCAGCCTCCAGCTCTGATGAGCAGGCTTGCCCATAACCTGTACCAATTGCTTCTCACCTCCCTGGGACCATTTGAGGTTCCTTGGGAGAGTCTTACAATAGAAGATCCCTAACTAAACAGGCCTCAGCAAAATGCTGGTTCCTTGCCTGTCCCATGATATCAGAGCTGCTCCTGTCTAAGGCTTGGCCTTGCTGCTTCTTCCAGTCCCAGAGTTCCATTGTGACCCCATGTCCTCTACTTCAGTCCGTGACCTTTGTGCTGTGCTGTACTATAACAATGGGAAGGCAGTGTTCAACATCCCTGGCATACAGAGCCTCTTCCTATTAGGAATCCAAGTGGTAAATAGATTTCCCCCCATCAGTCAAAAACATGGAAAATGGGAGGCGGGGGGCAGTGTGGAGGCAGCTTGGTGGTTAAGGGTGCTGGACCCCCACATGGCCGACTATGATTTGCGTCCTGGACCTGGTGGCTTGCTTTCTTTCTCTCTGGTCAAATTAAAATGAATAAATAAAGTTACATTAAAAAATATGGAAAATGGGGGCCAGAGTTGGCACGGTGATTAAGGGCACTGGACTCCCACAGGGCTGACCACAGGTCGAGTTCAGCACCTGGCAGCTTCCTTTCCCACTCTCCTTCTCTCTCTCTCTCTCTCACTCTGTCCTTCTCTGGCCAAATTAAAATAAATAGATAAAATTAAATAAAAAATAATTTAAAAAAATGATACTTACTATGTGATACTATTTAATATCTTCTCTAGCCTACCAGCACAAGGTAGGCTGTTTAATCAATTTGATTAGTTAATAATTTTTAAATTGTAATTGGTAGAAACTCAAAGTTGATACACTAAAAGAGACCACAAGGAGCAAAATTTCTAAAAAAATTTTTTAATTAACAAATATATGTTGTACATATTTATGTTTTATAACATGATGTTTTGTATACATTGTGAATTGGTTAAATAAAGCTACTTAACATATGCATATCTATCTCACATACTTATCTTTTCTTTTTGTGGTAAGAACACTTCAAATCTCCTCTCTTAGAATTTTTTTTTTTTGAGAGGTTTTTGCAATAGGGTGCATGTGCTTACCAGAAAGACAGAGAGAGACAGAGAGACAGAAAGCAAGAAATCACCCCGCAGGGAGGATGGCCACACCACAATCCCTTCTCCTCCATTCTCCTCTTGGGATCTTGGGCACGCACACACATGCGTGCTGTGTGAGTTTAGCCACTGGGTCTGGGACTCAAACCTCAGTTGACTACATGGGAGTCCAGCGACATAGCCATTGTGCCAACTACTGGTCCCTCAGCAATTTTGAAGGATACGATATATTGTTATTAAGTATAGTCACTATCATGTACATTAGATCTCTTGAATTTATTCCTCCTAACTAAAATTCTATGTCCTTTGGTCAACCTCTTTCCAATCCCTCCCTCTTTCTCACACCCAACCCCCAGCCTCCTGACCACCATTCTATTCTCTGACTCTGCGTTTGACATTTTTAGACTTCACGTATAAGTGAGATCATGCAGGATTTGTCCTTTGGTGCCTGCCTTTTTCCACTTAAATCGATGTCCAATGCCATCTATTCAGGAAGATACCTCCCACTTGTAATGTATGCCTAAGGAGAGGAGGGAGGATTTCTGAAATGAAGTACACATTTCAAAGTGCAGGAGAGTCCTTGGAGAAAGAAAACCTGTGTTCATCACATATTTGAACCCTAATGTAATTTAGCCCAGCTATAGTCACTGTGTGGTGATGTGCAACGGTGGCTCTCCAAGTCCCTCCCTATAGCCACATCACCTTGTCACGTAACTCTCTACTAGCATCCATTTTGACTCTGGCTCAGTTAAGAGGACTGGCCTTCAGGCCCAAGAAATATTGGTAAGAGTGACACAATCAGAACCCCTTTTTAGCGGTTGTCTCCGGTGGAGATAAGAGGAATGGAGAGAAACTGCTTAGAAGGCTGGAGTTTTATTTCTGAATGATGGAAATGTTTTCAAAGTTGACAGAGGTGGTAGTTGAAAAACATGTAATACATGCGACTGAATTATTCACTTAAAAAAGGTGAATTTGAGTCCTGGACCCAGTGGCTTAAAACTCACACTGGGCACATGTGTGTGTGTGTGTGTGTGTGTGTGTGTGTGTGCCCCAAAACCTGAGAGGAGAATGGAGGAGATGGGATTGTGGCATGGCCATCCCCCCTAGGGAGTGATTTCTCATTTTCTGTCCCTTTGTCTCTCTGGTGAGGGCACATGCCCTATAGCAAAAATCTCTCTAAAAATAAATAAATAAATAAAAATGGTGACTTTCATGTTATATGAATATAAACTGTACATATTTTAAAAATTAAAACAACCCAATTAAAAGGGGCCAGCAGATAGTGTGGTGGTTAAGGACTCTGGACACCCACATGGCTGACTGCAGTTTGAGTCTCAGACCTGGCAGCTTGCTTTCTCTCTCTCTCTCTCTCACTCTGTCTTTCTCTGGTCAAATTAAAATAATAATAGTAAAATAAAGTTAAATAAAAATAATTCTTAAAAAAAGTGGGAAACGCCGGGCACGTGTGTGTGCGTGCGTGCCCAATATCCCGAGAGGAGAATGGAGGAGAAGGGATTGCGGTGTGGCCAACCCCCTGGGGGGTGATTTCTCGCTTTCTGTTTCTATGTCTCTCTCTGTCTGTCTGGCGAGCGCACATGCCCTATAGCAAAAACCTCTCCAAAAAAAAAAAAGTGGGAAAGAGATATGCATACCTATTCCT